CTTGTATCTTACCCCCTTCGCAAGGCACTGGGTTCTTGCAGGTGTGGATGTGGTCTGGATGTTGTCCTGTGTCCTGTGGTCTCTATTTTAGGAAGATTTTTCTTTGTTATATTTTCATAGTTCTATGTGTTTTTGTGAGGAGATTTCCACTGCTCTACTCACGCCACCATCTTGGCTCCTCTCCAGCCTCAATGTTTTATGTTTATATATATATATATATATACTTGACAAAAGGGACTTATGTTTATACAGATAGCCTCCATTTCTAACAATCTTCATTTCCTTCCTTAAATTAGAGTTCCCATCTGGCGTTATTTCCTTTTAGCTTGAAATTCCTTTAGTGTTATCTTGTAATGCAGGCCTGCTGGCAATGCTTGGTTTTTTAAAAATTTTATTTTGGTATCGTTAATGTACAGTTACTTGAACGTTATGGTTACTAGACTCCCCCTATTATCAAGTCCCCACCACGTACCCCATTACAGTCACTGTCCATCAGCGTAGTAAGATAATGCTTAGCTTTTTTAAAATCTGAAAACCTCTTTATTTCACCTTCATTCTGATTAATATTTTCATTGGTTATAGAATTCTGGGTTGACGGGTTTCTTTCTTTCAGCATATGAAATGTCATTCTGTTGTTTTCTGGCCATTGTTACTCTGAGGAGGAGCCAATATTGATTCTCTGTAGACAATGTGATTTTCTTTTAGCTGTCTGCTTTCAAATATTTGGTTTGCAGAGATTTGTCTTTTTCTGTCCAATACCATAGGCACTAACCATAAATGGATATTGAGTATTCAAAATATGATGAGTCTGTATTGTGATGTGATATTATGTGTAAAATACATACCAGATGATTTAAATATTTAAAAAAAATTAAGTCTAGGTAAGTTCATGAAATATTAAGAAATAACAAAATGATAGAATTCTAGAACTGCAAACCTGGAAGACATCAATCATCTAGGCTAGTTGTTCTCATGAGTATATGCTATCCTCCCCCACCCCAAGTTGAGTGTGGAAATGTGTGAGAGTGTTTTGTTTCTCACAATATAAAGGAGGTGCTACTGGCATGTAAGGAAGAGATCAAGGCTGCTAATCATCCAGCAATGTTCAAGACAGACCTGCACAATGCCCCCATTTAGAAATACTGGTAATCTAAGCTGTATTTTAAAGATGCAACATGAGAATCTGAATTTCAGCTGTGGCTTTATAAGAAATCTGTCAAGTTTCTTAGATTTCAGGTAAAAGAAATGGACAGAGGCTCATCTACACAGAAAAGGGACTAAGTAGCTGCAGGATCATTGAGAGTTACAGAACTAGGCTTGGGAAATGAGCAGAAACCAGGGAGGCCAGGCTCCATTCTGGACCACAGACAAGATCACACTAGAAAACGAGACTGTGAGAGCACAACTGCTGGTCATCAAGGCAAAGCCCCCTAGACGGATACCGCTTTTGCTGTGCCACTCTGCCTCCTTCCTCCACAAACTCCGAGTCACTGCTGCTGCCACATCCACACTGTGCGCTCTACACCCTTCCTGCTCGGTTATGTCTGGGGCAAGTACAACTGAATGACCAAATCTGGATCACATACTTGTTCTTGATCTATACAAGAAGTTAGAAAAGCAAGATCTACTGATTTTCCATTTACAGTGTAAGACAGGTTCTCTTTCCTATTAAGATTCAAAAAAAGGAGAGTTCCTTAAACAAAGAAACATGCTTTAGATGTTATGCAGGCTAAAAACATACGGTGTACACTAACTCCCTATTTACTTAATTTCTAATTGTGGGTAGTAGCCTCTTTGAGAAGTGCTGTTTAGCTCTACTGGGACTAGAACAGGTGACCAGGGTGTTTGGACCCAGCCATGGTCTCAGAGATCCTGCCTCAATCCAGTCCTTGTTAGGCGTGGGGACCACCCCCTCTAGAATCCACGGATAACAGAAGACAGACAGCCCTTCAGAGAGAGGCCTAGAACCACATCAAATATGTCTGAATTCACAGAATGGAGGGGACAGTAGGAAGAGCAGTTTTTTAACAGAAACCAACTGAAAGTGGGTAGTTAGTTATGGGCTGAATTGTGCCGTCCCCCATCAAATTCATATGTTGAAGTCCTAATCCCCAGTACTCTCAGAATGTAACCATTATTTGGAGATAAAGTCTGTCAAGAGGTAATTAAGCCAAAATGAGATCTTCAGATTGGGCCATAATCCAATGACTAATATTCTCATAAAGAGATTAGGACACAGACACACACGTGCACAGAGGGAAGGCCATGTGAAGGCGCAATGAGAGGCAGCTGCCAGCAAACCACGGAGCGAGGTCTCATGAGAAACCAAGCCTGCTTGACACCTTCATCTTGGACTTTAGCCGTTAGAACCATGAGAAAATACACTTCTGTTGTTTAAGCCACCTAGTCTGTGGCATTTTATTTACTACAGCAGCCCAAGCAGACTAATACTGGCTTCTTGCTACAGGAAGCAGGATACTCAGGGCAACCTCATAGTCGGTCTTTATTTCCAGTTCCATCTACCTGAGCCTTAGAACAGTTCCAGCAAAATGACATTCTTTTTCTTAATTTCATAAGCTTTTCAAAGTGCACAATTAAACATAATCACTTTAGAAAAATAAAAAAACTGAAAAAAAATATATATTTCACACCAAATCCTGATACTCCCAGATGAGCTCTGTTCATATTAGAAAAATAAAAAAATTGAAAAAATATATATATTTTACACCAAATCTTGTTACTCCCAGATGAGTTCTGTTCATATTAGAAAAATAAAAAAACCGAAAAAGTATATATATTTCACACCAAATCCTGTTACTCCCAGATGAGTTCTGTTCATATCTTAAGAATATATTCCAGAATCCATATCCGATTATTCATCCATGTGTCCTTTTGGCCACTTTTTAAACAAAAGGAAGACAGGTACATGCCAAATACCTGTACAAAAGAACCCCCGGTGACATGCTAAGCCTTCCCTCCTACCCCAGATCAGCAGTCTCAGTCTACTGGAAACTGGTATGAAGTGTCTTTTTGTCCAAAAATGTTCTGTGCAGATACACATATATGTACATGTATCCTTTTTTAATGGAAGAATTCTGAATACAGTTTTACTCATATCTTATAGGTCTTGTCACATCTGTATACACAAACCTCTTTTTAACACTGCATAATATGTGCCACACTATAGATACCATAACTTATTCACCATTTCCTTTATTGATAAGTATTTAGATGGTTTCTGTTTTTTTGTTGTAACATACACAGTGAACAAGCCCACTCTCATGCAGTTGTCTGTGGGTATGAGTACACCTATACTTATAAGATAAAATGGTAGAAACTGAACTACTGGGTCAAAGTACATGTGCATTTTTAAGTCTGACAGATGTGGCTGATTGTACGTTCCCAAAATGACCACACCAGTACACATGTCTCATCTCACATGCTCCTCCATTACGTGCCCCTAACACTTCTTCCATAAGGAAGTGAGGGCTAAGCCTCCTTCCCTTGAGTCTGTGTGAGGGCTTCTAAGTGCCATTCCCATTAGAACTGAATGAAAAGTAATAAGCTATGTGACTTCCAAGGTGAGATTATGAGGGAACACACCTTTCATTTGGCCTAACTGATGTCTACCTTTGGAACCCAGACACTATGCTGTATGCCCTTGACACAAGGAGGTAGATATTCTATCCAACAGCCCTAGCTAAGGTCACGGTCAACAGCTGACATTAGCTACCAGACAGGTGAGTGAATGAGACTTCAGATGATTCTAGTCCCTAACCCTTGAGTCTTTCAGCTGAGACCCCAGACTGTTGTTTCTGCTGCCACTCTGCATTCCTGACCCAGAGAAACTGTAAGAAATAATAAATTATTAGTTTCACACCCATATATTTCTTACTGATATATCATGTGGCCCATCCATGTTAAAAATACAACACTACTTGCTCATGTAAAATTGCTCTATAACTGGAATACCAGGAGAAAAGAGGACGAAGAAAAGGAGTATTTAAAATAATGGCTGAGAATTTTCCAAAATTAGTGGCAGACAGTAAACCACAGATCCAGGAAGCTCAGAGAATGACAAACAAATTAAACATAAAAAAAATACTCCTAGGCACATCATATTCAAACTGCAGAAAACCAAAGTCAAGGAGAAATTTTCAAAGACAACAAAGAAAAAAACTGTCTTACCTATAGAGGAACAAGGATAAGAATTACAGTGGATTTTTTCATTAGAAACCATGCAGTTAAGAAGAGAACAGAAATACTTAAGTGTTTAAAGGAATAAATCACTGATCTAGAAACTATATATCCTGTGAAATTACCCTTCAAGGAGACTCTGAAAACTTTCTCAAGCAAACAAAAAATTCATTACCAGCAGAAATGCCTGGCAAGAAATAGTAAAGAAGTTCTTTAGGGGGAAGGAAAATAACATAGGTCAGAAACTTAGATCTCCACAAAGAGGAGGAGCAACAAAGAAGAGATGTGACAGTAAAATGAAACCTTTTATTTTTCTTATTCTTAATTGATCTAAAAGGTAACTGCTTAAAGTAATAATGATAATAACGAACCGGGTATTTACAGCATATGATGAGTGAGGTGGCTGACAGCAATATCCTAAGGATGGATTGTGAATATTCAGTTATAAGGTACCTCCAATATTCGGGAAGCAGTGAAGAGCCTTTAAAGAGCCCCAACTGAGATTACATCCTCTTGAAGATAAACGCCACCCTCCTCACCAAGCACTTACTGTGGCAGGAAAGAAGTGTATGGTCAGAGATGTCTCAATCTTTGGTCACCAAGTGAATTTGGGTGAATTAAAAGTCACCTGGGGACAGAGGAGGTACACTCCTCAATGGCCTCTGGATAAATTCTGTATCTCAGGGAAAACTTAGGAGGCTCTGGCTTTGCCAATTTTCATTGGAAAGAAAAGACAAAGAATAAAACATATCCACCACCTCTAACCCAGAAGGCAATTCATGAAAAAGACAAACTTCACTTACTGTAACTTGAGCAGGCAACAAATCCACAGCCATTCTTTCCTTCTTAGTTTTCCTATCAAGGGAGAGCAAGGTCGGTCTGGAAAGGAAAAAGGTTTCATGAGGAACTTTGGAGTTGAGGGATGGCTTGGAGAGAGGAAGTTAAAACCACCCATGATGTCCACCAGGTCCCAAAGCAAAGCCACCCCACACAAATGCCACAAACCAAGTTAAAAGTGTGCTTACCATGCCAACAAAGCTCTAAGACAACTTGCCAATCTCCATCTTCCCCCTGCATTACCTATGGTTATGATTCCTATTGGACAGGCTTTATTAGCTATCTAAGCAAACTGTGACTCACCCATAGGTACTTGAAGCCTTTACACTGCTTTAAACTATACACTGTGAACAGTCACAGTGAACATGAATTTCGATTGCTGTCACTTTCTAACAGAGCTAGCCAATCCTAAGCCTGTGTGCCCCGCTTCACCCATTCCTTCTCAAAGAAACCACAATAAAGGTGTCGGACCACATCTGACCTCTGTCTCACTGCATGACTGACCCAGGGGCTTCCCCTGACTGGCCCTGCCTGGGGTGCTCTGTTCTTCCCCAGGGAGCTGTGAGTATAAAGCAACCTGTCAACTTCCCCAGTCTGTCTCTCTCGATGTGCATCTGCCCTTACCACACCTCACCCAAGGTAATACTGTTAAAACTCCCTTCCACACAAGATGCAGTCCTCCTACCAAACACAAATATCACGGGTGCCACCTTACAGCTACGCAGCTGGAAAGAGCCCTGGGCTCCTCATGCACAAACCCCAGTAGGTAGAGCAAGGTAAGCGGGTGCTGGGGTAGCCACAGAAGGGCCTTAGCCACAGCTGCCTGCCAGGTGAGGGAAGCTGCTGTAGAACTGATCATATTCTGATGCACACCTGCGCTAAGCCAGAAATCTTGAGTGCTTTTTATGTATGTTTTTAATCCTCACAGTGACTCCAAAAAGTGTTACTACCCCCTTCTACAGGTGAGAGGGAACAGAATTAGGGAGTCGTGGTGGCCTGCCAAAGAAACAAGAAAGGTTAAGTCGAGGAAGGAAGGAGTCCTGGTCCGAGGTCACAGCCCCAGTTAAAGTGCGGCAGATGACCTGGCCGCTGTGTGCCGCATCTATTCACCTGTAAAACGGGGCAGTGCGCAGCCACCCACCCTCCCCCAAGGTGTTGGTGGGTGAATGAGTTAACTCACCCATGGCTACGTTAGCGCCTGGCACACAAAGCTCCCTGGAGGCATTGGCTATTGTTTTAGTCGTCGGTTTCACTCGGGAGTCTCAGAAAATACGGCCACAAAGCCCCAACCCGCCGTTCCCGCAGTCCCGGGCACGCCCGGCTCACCTGGCAGGGATGCTCCCTGCCGCGAACCTCCCGCGGGCCAGCGCCGCCCCGCCGAGCACCGCCACCCAGGCCGCGCGCGCCCGCCTCCTGACCCACCCGCTGCGCCGCGTCTCCCCGGGGCTCACGCGCAGCCCCGGCCGGCTCCGAGCAGCTCCGCACCCAGAGGGGGCCCGGCGCTGGCTCCAACCGCCGCCCGCAGGAGGTAACGCGGAGCTTCCCGGCCTCTGGAAGACGGCCCAAGCGGAGGCGGGACGGCCGCACCACCAGACCCAAACAGGCCGCGAGCCGCGCCCGCAACCTCTCGAACCGAGAACGATAACTCCCGGCATGCCTCGGGCAGCGCCGACTACTTCCTACAGGCGCCGCGACGGGGCGACTTCCGGGAGGGGAACCGCCTCTCTCCGCGCGCTGCCAGGCTTAAGTGCTGCCGGCTCTTGGCAAGACTGGCGAGATGGTTCTCCTTCAGGCGCTTCTGCCGAATCAGGCGGCAGGCTTGTTTTGTTAGGCAGGCAAATGATTGAAAAACAACCTGAATGTAGACAGATGCCTTTAGGAGGATCAGTGTGCCCTAGTTCCCACTAGCTAGTTATGAGTATTTTTAATTATTTTATCGTGTGCCACACGTAAGATAATATATGCATAGGTGCAGTTTAAGAATAGTAAAACAAATACCCACTCCCCAACGCTCTGCTACAAAAGAGAACTTCACCAGAACTTTGGAGGCCTCGTCTGCAATGTTCCCCAGTCATTTTTTCTAAATTGTGTTAAGCATTTCCTTGCTTAGCTGGTAACTCCGTATGTGTCCCAAAACAATAAGGGCTTACCTTTGTACGGTTTTTGATCTCTATATGAACAGGAACTGCTATATGTTCTGTGAACATACGCTCAACATGAAAACTTTGTTTAAAAAAATTCAACTGGATACATTTTAAATATTTTACTGGCTTTATTCAGTGATTCATGAATTAGGCAGCATCCAATCTAGTAGATAGAAAGGAGCTCCAAAAGAGCTGGACAAAATGAAAGACATTTATAGGCAGAAGGGAGCAAGAACGAGGAAATTATACTAGGTTAAAAGCAGATTGGTTATAAGGTTACTTTTCCTGTGGAAGATGGCAAGGGGTTGTCACACATTACCTAACATGCTGATCAGGTGATTCCCGATTGACAGTTTTAAGATTACATCTCCGGGAGATCAAAATTGTAATTAAGTCAAGTCTTGGTTTGGTGATTTAAGGGCTTAGAATAAGCACCTCCATTTTGAACCTGCTGTTTTGTCTTTAACCACTTTTAAATTAATCTTTCTTGGTTCATTCAAAGTTTACTCATTGTCACTGTTAGGCTGGAGGAGGGAAAAACAAGGACATGCAAACAGAACAGAGAGATACCATAAAAGGAGAACAGACCAGACCCCAAGGTCTGTCCCTTATATGGAAAGGGGACAGCTCTTCCTGAATTCCATCCTTCTGATGTGTCAACTAAGACCCTGATGTCAGCCTCCTCCTTCTTGGAAGGAAAAAAGTTTCTAGTTGTCTATTATGTCACCTTTAGCCAATCATACCTCTCCACGCCCCCTAGGATAGCTTGCCCACTCCTCCCCCTCCTAACCCCTTATAAGCCCCCACCTCCCTGACCGAGTGTGACTTCCCCAGCCTGTGTTTCAGACCCAGGAACGTCACCCGGGAATTGCGCTCAAATAAACTGCCTCTCGTCGCCTGCTTATTTCGGCTAGACTTTATCTTAAAAGTCACTGCCCTACAAGATTCCATTATTCATTCATTCAACAAAAAAATACGCAACACCTGTCTTGCCCCTGGCATTGTTCTAGATGCCAGAAATACACCAGCAAGCAAAACTGCCAAAACCTTTGCATCCATGCAGCTTAAATTCTTCTGGGGGAGAGAGAAGGAAGATAGTTAAAAAAAAAAAAAAACAATAAACAGTACGTTTTTAGATAGTGATAAATGTTAACAAGAACGAGAAACGGGTAGGGGAAGATCGTTGCAATTTCACACAAAGTGGTTAAGAAACGTTTGGTTGAGAAGGTGGCAGATGAAGAAAGATCTGCAGAAGATGAGCAGTGAGCCAAGGTAAATACCTGTTATTTACACCTGCGGGAAGAAGGCTTTGTGGTACTGCAAATCATATGCCCTGAGGAAGGAGCTTGCCTGGCCTGGTCAAGCAACAATAAGAATACTGTTGCTGAAGTAAACAGAGGGGGAAAAAAGAAAAGGTCAGAGTCAAGAGGACTAGAATGCGTAGGCTCTTACTGGTCGTTATCATTGGGTTTTACTCTGAAATAGAATGCTCTGAGCAACACTGAGACCTACTCTGACTTCCATTTTTAAATGATCATTCTGACTGCTATGCTGAAAATAAACTGAAGGGTCAAAGGGACAAGTAGAAAGACCAGGACTAGTTAGAAGGCTATTAGAGTGATCTGAATGAAGACAGTAATTTGGACCAAGTAGAAGTTATGAGAAGTGGTTGGAAAAGCTCAAAATTCAAGATCTGGAAAAAACACAAGGAGAACATTTGGAATATAATGTTTTACAACAATCAAGTATATCTATTCTATCTAAATACCCCCAGTAATTATATTACATCTTTAGAAAATATTCTTTATGCTCCATTTTTCTGATTATAAAAATTATCTTCTGACTTCCTTTACATATTAAACCAAATGTTAATTTGTTTTGCTTTCTGTCCCATTTAGGATTTTAATAGTATGAGGCAGTAGGTCATGACCACTGGTATCCAATTTTAATACTTCCCTATTCCATTTTCCTTCTCAACTAGGAATTTCAGAAATCTCCTTGAGTTTTATAATTTATAATTAAATTTATATTTAACTTGTTCCTTTATTGGTCATATCTATAGCACCACTTCCTTAATCCTTTCTTGGCATTTCTGTTCCTTTTTCACATAGTTACAGCCTAGTTCTTATCAGTGTCCTTCCAGCTACTCCACAGGATCCTTCTTGTCCCTGGTTTTCTGAAGAAATCTGAAGCTAATCTGATTTTTCTTCTCTTTCTTGGTAACCTTATATTTCTCGACATTGACTTTTCTAAATCTTCCCCCTCCCCTTTGTTTCCTGTATTTCTATTTTTTCCCTGTATCTAGCAATCAATTTTTCCATTATTTTTGTCTGGGACACACAAAAAAGGAAAAGGCTCTGTTCTATTTTTTCTACTTTCTTCATTAGCAATATAGTCTTCTTAAACATATTAAACATGGTGTCTGACTTTCATAACTCTGATAATTTCACATTTTAATTCTTTGTCCTTTCCTCTGTTTTCTGGGAGGACTCTTCACCCAGGCTTACAGAATCCAATTTATAATTACTCTCCCACTTGCTCTTTCTAGTGTGTTCTTTAAAAAAAAAAAAAAAAAGGACCACTTACTTTATTTGAAAAAATATCTGCACTGCACATAGCATCCAAAAAGTAGATCCTAACCCAGGGGCCCTTGGGTCCAGGGTGATATAATTGGAGATGAACTCTTCTCCCAACCCTCTGCCTTCCTCCCTCTCTCACTCCTTTCTTTCTCTTTACACTGAGGAAATAAAAATTATAGAAAAAGAGAAATGGGAATTGTTCCTAACTACTGTTCAGGATTTGGAAAGCTAAGATGAAGCATATACAGTGTTTAAAATCAAATTAAACTCCTTTTCGATCTTACTCTCTTAATCATACGAACTCTTAATGACACACACCCTGTGTAAATGTGGAATTGAGGCTGATAGATTAGTTGGATTTGGGGAATACAAGGGTGCCCTCTTTAAAATGCCATTCAGGTACTACCATGAACCTGAATGTTATGATACAAACATGTCATAAGCTATTTACATTTTCCTGTCCCTTATAAACTCTCTTAGAAGTTTAAAGGATATGTAATCGTGTAAAAATATTCAAAAGCGATTGCAAACATTTGTTTAGGAAAGAGAGCCCTAAACAATTACAGCCCTAAAAATTTAAATGTGTGGGCAGGATTGTGTTGAAATATAAGGTCCCAATCCATAAATAGAAAAGAAATCCTGCCATTTGCAACAACATGGATGGACCTAGAGGGTATTATGCTCAGTGAAATAAGCCCGGTGTAGAAAAGACAAATACCATATGATATCACTTATTTGTGAAACATAAAAACAAAGCAAAACAGAATGAACAAAACAGCAGTAGACTCATAGACACATGAGGTTATCATACGTTTACAGATAGGTGGTTACTGTGGGGGAGGGGCTTGGAGTGGGTGGGTGGGAAGTGGAGAGGGTGAGAAGGACAAAGCGGTACAAAAATTCTCAATCATAATATAACTTGGTCATGAGGATGGTAGTACACCATGGAGACTATAGTCAATGATCCTGTAACATCTTCCTATGTTGGCAGATAGTAGCTGCACTAGTAGGGGATGAGGATTTAATAATATGGGTAACTGTTCAACCCTGTACTGTATATTTGAAATCAATATAGGATTGTATATCAATGATACGTCAATTTAAAAAACGTGTGTATGTATAAAGGCCCAATCTATGCAGGTCTTTCCATCATCACCATATAAATTTATGGGATGAGTCATGAAAACCTACAAATAATTTTTTATTGTGTATAATATTTACTTAAAAGAAATTGAAGTTTTGCTAGTTTGTTTTCTTTCACCTGTATCTCTCTATGAAGCAGATACCACAAACCAAACGTTGGAGAACTAGGAGCTTTTCATCCTCTTGCCACAGGCATGACGAGGGTTTGTTCTGTTTCAGGCACAATGAATTTTTTTGGATATAACACGTGGTAACCACTTACAGAATAAAGAGAAATTAAAATGAGGTAGAAATGATGTGCTATTGTTTGAGTGAATAACATAAGTGTTTCTCCAGGTAATTCTTGGTAGGTGATGTAGTGATGATGGTATAAATCTAAACTTCCCATCATATCATTTTTAAAGAAACAATAAAGGATACAGAAGAGAAAAAGAAGAGGCAACAGTGTTCCTAAAATGTATACTACTACCACCAAAAAGAGAAGTATGCCCTCTCTGTGTTAATATGCAAGTGCACTGATGTGTAACTGAATATGAGTAAGTGCTTACAAGTACATGCAGTATACATCAACAACCCAGTTCAAAAATGGGCAAAGGATTTGGGTAGGTATTTCTTCACACAAGCTATATAAATGGGCAACAAGCATATAAAAAGATGTCCAACATCACTAGTCATTAGGGACATGCAAATAATAACTACAATGAGATACCACTTCACACCTGTTAGGATGGCTATTATGAAAAAAAAAAACAAGTGTTGACAAGGATGTAGAATCCACATTGCAACTGG